TTAATATATTGTACAGTTATTCTTCATAATTTGAGAGTGAAAACGAGGCCCAAGTGATAGAAATCTCTGAGATCAGAAATATTCTATTCATTTCCCCTAAAACTAAAATTTCATGTAATTACTATGTAATATAACAAGAATGGTTATCTTCTTCCTGGTCTGTCTAGAATTCCATCTATTCTACATTTATTGGGTATTGAGTTATATATAACTCTTTAAACAGCCTATTTCCTTGCAAAAGTATTGCGCTATATCTTCCATAATTTCCAGCCAGTCAAGTGAGAGTTCTGGGAGGCATTGTTCAACATATCTGGCAGTCATTGTCAGTGATAACCTAGCATGTTCACAAACAAAGCCTAACTTTCACAAGGTTGTTAATCTGCAATCATTAGCCATCATCAAGCAGACAAAAGAAAACACATACTTGCTTTGTAATTCCCTTACAGCTTCCATTCAATTTGGTTAGGCAAGTCAGGCCCTGACAACAGTGCAGGCAGACAAGTTGTGTAGGCATGCATGAAGGATTACATATGAATAGGCTGACAGAATAAAGAAAAGCTATTTTTGAAAAGGAAATGCATGCTTGTCAGCACAAGTTATGACAATCTGTTTTTGGATTAAAGGTTGTTAGTCTAAGAGTTTATTCACTCAGAATCATTCCACCAGGTGGCACTGTATAAATACAGTGATATCAGAGGCTTAAGGCTCTTTCTGTAACCATCATCAAAGTATCAAAACAGGTCTTGTATTATTACTTTTCTCATCTATGTAGTTTTTTATATCAACTAGAGAACTGCTTCATTTGTATTTGAAAAGAGAAAAGAAAAGCTTGTTATCCTGAATATTGACCACATCCAGTATTAATGTATATCTATTCCCTAGGCAGCTGTGAAAAATAATTTGGATCCATGAGTCTTAGGAGATGAGATGTCCTAACTGTCCTTCAAGCTTTATGAGGAGCTTATCCTTAGCTTTGTCTAAATATGTGCTTTGTTGGGAAGGATTTGCCATAATACAGTATGTGCTGGGTTTCACCAGACAAAAATGTTTTTTCTCTCCGTATCATTGCCTTCAGGGCTATGGGAAAATAACACCTAAACATTTAAAGATTCCTTATTATCCAGGAATATTTTTCTACACATGTAAAAAAAAAGTTCATGATCTCAGTAAACTACACATTTTATACCAAATAGAATATTTTATTTCTGTAAATATCATCCAGTGTTATCACTTGTATTATACCTGTAGGATACAACAATAAATGTCATTTATAAAAATAAAGCATAAATATCAGTAAAAGTAAACTACCAAATTTAGGATATATGTAAAAAAAAGGTCCAGAGCTTTAATTGTATTGTTGACCTGGGCTTTTTAATCTCATTGCTGATGCCCTTCCTTTAGATATGTTAGACTTGTGGATTTAGGCCTTAAACTTGTAGTATCTACATTTATTATTGGCATCTTGGAACAATTCTTTTTCATATTTAGTTAAGAATACCATTGAATTTCCTACTCTTGGTCAAGTTAAAGTACTTTAGAATTCTATCTGGAACATACCCAGTGTGAGGATAAAAGGTACACCAAAATAGTATTGATTTTCTTGAAGTATTTAGATTCTAAGCTATTTTCTTACATAATGTATCACAATAAACATATAGGCAGATTTCTCTCATCTTAAAAGAGAATCAGGACTCCAATTAAGTTAATGGAACTTAATTTTGAATAGGCTGAAAGTTTAACTCTATATATTTATTAATTTAATTAGTTTGGATTCTCTGTAAAATCCCATGAATGATACATTCATAGCCTTTCCATTAAACAAACAAATATAAACTTTGTTCAATGTTGTACTGATGTGCAAACATCTCAGAAATGGAGCACCTTTTTCATTAAAAGGACTGTTTCCACTTCCTAGGGTGTTGCGCTTTGTTGTGCTAGATATAAGTTTTTGATTCTCTGTCATTTACTTAAGCAATGCTCTGCATAAAATCTATTAAAAGGATTGAGAGGGAAGGAGGAGCTCAAGCAAGTCCTGCATTAACCTCCTCTCAGCCCTTTCCAGGAAAGCAGATCCTGCAAGTTCACACAACAGCAGTCTTTTGGGATTGGCTATTGTGTGGTGTCCAATGTGCCTCTTGCCTTCAGACATACTTCCAAATGTCCGTCGCATGAATGTGTTTTCAGAAGGGTACAGTTCCAAACGTGTGTGCATATACCAGTGTTTCTCAACCTTGGCAATTTGAAGATGTCTGGACTTCAACTCCCAGAATTCCCCAGCCAGCATTCGCTGGCTGGGGAATTCTGGGAGTTGAAGTCCAGACATCTTCAAGTTGCCAAGGTTGAGAAACACTGCTCTGAGGGACAGTCTTGCCTGGTTATCTTGGTGGACTTGGGATCTATTAGTTGGCAGTGTGCTTGGGATTGTGAGTTTGTTATGGGGACAATAGGACAGTTTACTCAGAAGGTAATGAAGGCATGGATGACTGTAAAAGAAAAAAAAAGCCTAGTTCAGGAAAGGATGCAATTGACACTCAACATGAAGTCATGCAAAAGCCCTCTCTCCACTGCTGCTATTTATTCCTCATACAGGAGCTGTAAATCCCAGGAGACACCCATATTATGCCCTGGTTTGGTTTGGAATAAGAGAATCAAGGGCAAACAAGAGTTATACGTTCCTAGAACCAGGAAGCTGCTTAGTTTGCAAAGGTTGAACCAAAGCCTCTTTCCCCATCAAATATATCCAAGACACTACATACCGTGTTTCCCTGAAAATAAGACCTACCCCAAAAATAAGACCTAGCCCAGTTTTTTAC